TTTTCCCCTGACATTAAGTCCAGTCGTGTCAGATTCTGGGGTTTGGTGCTCATCTCCATTTCTTTGCTGAAGAGCTGGCGTTGTCCATAGACACCTCCTAGGTCTTGTGGCCAGCATGACTGCATGGAGCACAGTTACCTTCCTGCTGGAGCGATACCTATTGCTCTACTCACATTTGCTAGGTTGGCAGAATTGCTAGGTTGGCAGAAGTTGGGACTAAAAACGGGAGCTCACCTCACTCCCCAGATTCGAATCACCAACCTTTCGGTCAACAAGCTCAGCAGCTCAGTGCTTTAACTCTGCCACTGGGGGCTTCCAAGGTAAAGGTTTTCCCCTGACATTAAGTTCAGGGGTTTGGTGCTCATCTCCATTTCTGTGCTGAAGAGCTGGTGTTGTCCATAGACACCTCCTATGTCATGTGGCCAGAATGACTGCATGGAGCGCTGTTACCTTACTGCTGGAGCGATACCTATTGCTAGGTTGGCAAAAGTTGGGGCTAAAAACGGGCGCTCACCTCACTCCACGGATTCGAACCACCTACCTTTCGATCAACAAGTGGTACCAATTTATCTACTCACACTTGTATTGTCAAAGGCTTTCATGGCCGGAATCACTGGGTTGTTGTAGGTTTTTTCAGGCTATATGGCCATGTTCTAGAGGCATTCTCTCCTGATGTTTCGCCTGCATCTATGGCAAGCATCCTCAGAGGTAGTGTTTTGGAATGGTTTGGTTGGCAGAAGCTGGGGCTGACAGCAGGAGCTCAAGCCACTCCCTGCATTCGAACAATCAACTTTTCAGTCAACAAGTTCAGCAACTCAGCGGTTTAACCGCCTGCACCACCAAGGGCTCCTGACCCTGGGATACTGTAGGCATAACGTACTCTGCCAATGAATTACAGAGTTAAGTCTGAAGAAAGAAAGAGCAATTCACCTTCCAAGTCACAGCCTTGCTGTAAATGGCACTACACATTAACTGAGCGAGATGCGGTGCAGTCCAAAACGTTCTGCTGCCTGATTCTAAGAATAAATAGGGGGCCAGATCCCATATTATGGGTCCCAGACTTTGGAGCTTCCTTGGTCCTGCAAAGCTGTGTTACTCACGAAGGTCAGCGTGGAGAGGGCGCCCATGAAGCAGATCGCAATGAAACCCAGCACAAAGATTTCCCGGCGCTTGCTCCAAACGTGGGGGAATTCGTCCAGGACGGCCGTGATCACCCCTTCCAGCCCGGCAAACTGGGGGAAAAAAGTACAGGGCGGTGTTTCTTTTCTTCCCGTTCAATTTGGAATGAATTCTGTATTTCATCTCTCCCTCCATTTCGTATTACAGTGTTCCCTCACATATTTTATTTATTTATTTATTTCAAACACTTTTACCCCGCCCTGAGGGACTCAAGGCGGCTTCCAATTGGCAACAATCCGATGCCACGTAATAAAATACAACCCACCAAATAATTATCATAGTTAAAAACATTAAACAATATACTTACAGTCTGCTAAGCTATTACCAGTCTGGTGGCCATTAATTAGCCGAATTCTATGATTGAGTACTCCATTTAGCTTATCCATAACCCATTTATTTATTTATTTGCTCCATTTATATACCGCTTTTCTCAGCCCTCAGGCGACTCAAAGCGGTTTACAGTAGCAAAATTCAATGCTTGAACATCATAAAACAGATTAAAACAATTAAAAACCATAGCTTCAATATACAAACATTTCAAAGTCAATGCTACATAACTCATGGCGTCTCTTAGTTAAAATCAAGATCCAATCTCGTCATCCAATTGTTCCATGTTCCAATATTGTTACACTGCCTTTTCGAATGCCTGCTCGAACAACCAGGTCTTAACCTTCCTACGAAATGCTAACAGAAGGGGCCGCTCTAATATGTCTGGGAAGGGCGTTCCCTAGCCGAGGGACCACCACTGAGAAGGCCCTGTCTCTTATCCCCGTCAAACATATTTGTGACACAGGCGGGACCGAGAGCAGGGCATCCCCAGAGAATCTTAACGTCCTAGCTGGTTCATAGGAGGAGATATGTTCGGACAGGTAAGTTGGGCCTGAACTGTTCAGGGCTTTATAGGCTAGAGCCAGCACCTTAAATTGTGCCCAGTAGCAAACTGGCAGCCAGTGGAGCTAGCACAACAGAGGAGTTATATGCTCCCTGAGCGCCACTCCTGTTAATAACCTGGCTGCTGCCCGTTGGACCATTTAAAGCTTCCAGACAGTCTTCAAAGGCAACCCCACGTAGAGTACATTGCAGTAGTCTATACAGGATGTAACCAGAGCGTGGACTACCGTGGCCAAGTCAGACTTCCCAAGGTACGGGCGCAGCTGGTGCACGAGTTTTAACTGTGCGAATGCTCCCCTGGTCACCGCTGAAACCTGGGGTTCCCGACTCCAAAACATTGTCAACATTGTCATTGTCATTTCCGCCTAATTACCCGAAGGTCTGGTCCCACATCCACATTTTTACCTTCTTTCTAAAAGTGAGGAGGGATGACAATGACCTAATTTCCCCAAGGAGTGAGTTCCAAAGGCGAGGGACCACCACCGAGAAGGCCCTGTCACTCATCCCCGCGAAGCGTGTTTGATTAAGATATTCTGGGAAGGCCTTGCTCTCGGCCCTGCCTCTGTCTCAAACACACTTCGCGGGGATGAGGGACAGGGCCTTCTCTGAGGTGGGTCACAGAAGGAAATACATTCGGACAGGTATGCTGGACCGGAGCCGTATAGGGTTTTATAGGTCAAAACCAGCACTTTGAATTGTGCTCGGAATTGGACCGGCAGCCAGTAGACCACCCGTGAAAAGTGAAAATCCGTGAAGAAGGGATGCTATATATGTATATCGCATTCAGAAGGTGACGTAGAGGCGAGGAGAGATTTAAAGGCACCGGGCACCTTGTTTTTGCTTACGATCTCTGCTTTGCTTTGCAATCTCTCTTAGAATCATAGAATCCTAGAGTTGGAAGAGACCTCCTGGGCCATCCAGTCCAACCCCATTCTGCCAAGAAGCAGGAATATTGCATTCAAATCACCCCTGACAGGTGGCCATCCAGCCTCTGCTTAAAAGCTTCCAAGGAAGGAGTCTCCACCACACTCCAGGGCAGAGAGTTCCACTGCTGAACGGCTCTCACAGTCAGGAAGTTCTCCCTCATGTTCAGATGGAATCTCCTTTCTTGTAGTTTGAAGCCATTGTTCCATTGCGTCCTAGTCTCCAGGGAAGCAGAAAACAAGCTTGCTCCCTCCTCCCTATGATTTCCTCTCACATATTTATACATGGCTATCATATCTCTTGATTGGCTGCCTCTCTCGCGAGGGCAAGGGTAAGACCTCCTTCCACACTTCCTCCTTCCTCATCATTGCCAGGAGGCGGGATGAGAACGCCGCTCTGGGCAACGGCAACCATTCATAAACTGGGAGGCAAAAACCCGCGAAACAGTGAGTCCGCAAAAAGCGAACCGTGAAGTAGCGAGGGAGCACTGCACTCACCGTACTGTCCAGCCCCAGAGTGATCAGCATCAGGAAGAAGATGATGGCAAAGAAGGTCGAGGCAGGCATGTTTGCGATGGCCTCTGCATACGTGATGAAGAGGAGGCTGGGTCCTGCCAAGGTGAAGAGATGGTGAAGACAGGACACATGGTTGTCGGGAAAATAAGACCCATTCTTTCCCTCCCATTCCTTCTGCAACTTATTTGCTTTTAGAAACAATTGACAAGCAACTCCCCATATTTGCAGATTTGGGTATTCATGAATGTGATCTCTTTAGGAATCTTTAGGTCCTGCAGCATGACATGTTGTCTTACCCCTGTTCTGAACTGTGAGTCATTTGTAAGTCAGATGTTTGCAACTTGGAGATGGCCTGTATGGCCTTCCTTAGCCACCATCATTGGGCCTGCTGTCCAGAGCAGATGGATGAGTTTTTCCATCTGCATCTCTAATGGTGGCGGGTCAGATGGCCTCTTTTGAAGATTGGAATGGACCGATGTGAGATGGGGCAAATCTTCAAGCATCCTGGTCCAAGTCTAATCAGAACCAGAATTGTCCTCAGAAATGAACCAAGAGCTGGCACGGGTTCCCTCCTCGTGGAATTGCACTCCAACCTTTTTTATTTAGTTTTGAGTCTATTTTCGGTATTCCTACCCCACCCTTGAACCTATTCCCAGGGTAGAGTTTGCCTCATCAAAACACAATAAACAACCAAAGTACAATAAATCGCAAACACTCAGATTGACGTATTTTGGACTGGCAGGAGGTTTTCCGAAGACTATTGAAAGGGACCCCGCTCAAGAGCGTGCTACCTTTATGTAACCAAATTTGGGACCAGCTGCAATCGCTTTGCCAACATAAGCATTGCCCAGAGCCAAAACGGAATGGTAGCAATCCAACTGGGCATCTTGTGCGGAGCTATATCAGTACATCGGTATTTTATTCCATCATTATCTCGAGAGAGCTCCTGGTTGGATTGGGCAAATCACGATGAACATAATCCTGATAGACCTTCTCCATCCATCACAATCCCTTTTTACTGGGTGGCCCACACCAGAACATCACAGGAAATGCTATATGACTATGTTCAAGAAGCATTCTCTCCTGTCGTTTCGCCTGCAACTATGGCAAGCCTCCTCGGAGGTTGAGAGGTCTTCAGACCATCTATGGCAGGCATTCTCAGGGGTTGTGAGGTCTTAAAACCATTTATGACAGGCATCATCAGAGCTTGTGAGGTCTGAAGACCATCTACGGCAGGCGTCCTCAGAGGTTGTGAGGTCTTCAGACCATCTATGGCAGGCATCCTGAAGAGTTGTGAGGTCTTCAGACCATCTATGGCAGGCATCCTTAGAGGTTAAGAGGTCTTCAGACCATCTATGGCAGGCATCTTCAGGGGTTGTGAGGTCTTCATCTATGGCAGGCATCCTCAGAGGTTGAGAGGTCTGAAGACCATCTATGGCAGGCATCCTCAGAGGTTGAGAGGTCTTCAGAACATCTATGGCAGGCATCCTCAGGGGTTATGAGCTCTTCATCTCTGGCAGGCATCCTCAGAGGTTGTGAGGTCTTCAGACCATCTATGGCAGGTATCCTCAGAGGTTGAGAGGTCTGAAGACCATCTATGGCAAGCATCCTCAGAGGTTGTGAGATCTGAAGACCTCATAACCTCTGACGATGCCTGCCATTGATGCAGGCAAAACATCAGGAGAAAATGCTTCTAGAACATGGCCTAAAAACCCTACAACAACCCGGTGATTCCCGGCATGAAAGCCTTCGACAAAACCATGGAGCTTACCAGTGTCTTTGGCAACCTCCGAGACCTCTTCGTTCCTCATCTCCGCCATGTAACCAAGGACAGTGAAGATGACAAAACCGGAGACGAAACTTGTCATACAGTTCACAGCGCTTGTAACCAGGGCATCTCTAGGATGGAAACAAAACATGAGAATCAAGATGGACCCTGGGCATGTTTCCTGACCACAACACCCCAATGTTCTCCCGACTGCCTGAGGAGATGGGGTCCAAAGAGAAGGACACGGCACACAGATATCAAACCTGCTTGAAAGAAAACATTCTGTTTGGTTTTCTCTAAATGTGGACTTGTGGGAAGCCCTTTGGATGTTGTGGCCTGCTTACTGGTAGCAGTTGTTGTGGAACTTGTTGTAGCTCGCAAAGGCAAGGAGCACCCCAAAGCCAGGACCGAGGGAGAAGAAGATCTGAGCAGCAGCGTCCACCCATACCTAGAACCACACGGAAACAAGAGACAGTTTTTGCAAGAATGTAAAATACATAACAGCAAAAGAGACATGTTATTTCAGCAAAAGCTATGCTACAGTTTTGGGTAAGGACAGCTAACTAGTTCTCCTGTCAGCTTCCTTCTTCAGCAGGAAGAGCATTCTGAACGCCACCAATGATGGAATTGTGCCAAACTTGGCACACCAAACTCCCATGACCAACAGAAAATACTGGAAGGCTTTGGTGATCCTGGATTCATCACTGAGCCTTGAACCCCAGGTTTCAGCGGTGACTGGGAGAGCTTTTGCACAGTTAAAACTTGTGTGCCACCTTGGGAAGCCTGACTTGGCCACGGTGGTCCACACTCTTGTTACATCCCGAATAGACTACTCCAACGTACTCTACATGGGGTTACCTCTGAAGACTGCCTGGAAGCTTCAGCTAGTCCAACGTTTGGCAGCAAGGTTGCTCACTGGAGCTGGATACAGGGAGTGCACAATGCCCTTGTTACGCCAGCTCCACTGGCTGCCTCCGAACACAATTCAAAGTGCTGGCTTTGGCCCATAAAGCTCTGAATGGTTCTGGCCCAGTTTACTTGTCCAAACGTATCTCCCACTACGATCCACTTATGGCCCTAAGATCATCTGGGGAAACCCTGCTCGTTGTTCCCCCATTGTCGCAACCACGTCTGGCAGGGACAAGGGACAGGGCCTTTTCTGTGGTGGCCTCCCAGCTGTGGAACTCCCTCCCAAGTGAAATGAGATCCGCTGCATCCCTCTTGACCTTTCAAATCTATGATACACTATCTGTGTGTGTGTGTGTGAATCATATCTATCTATCTATCTATCTATCTATCTATCTATCTATCTATCTATCTATATCTATGGCTGGATGGCGCTTTGTCAGGAGGGCTTTGATGACGTTTTCTTGCCCTGGTGAAAGGAATTGGACTGGTTGGCCTTAAGGCAGCATTTCTCAACCTGGGGGTCGGGACCCCTGTGGAGGTCATAAAGGGTTGTCAGAAAGGTCACTAAAACCATCAGAAAACACAGTATTTTCTGTTGGTCATGGGGGTTCTGCGTGGAAAATTTGGTTCAATTCTATTGTTGGTGGGGTTCAGAATGCTCTTGTAGGTGAACTATAAATCCCAGCAACTACAACTCCCAAATGTCAAGGTCTATTTCCTCCAAACTCTTCCTGTGATCATATTTGGGCATATTGAGTATTCATGCCAAGTTTGGCCCGGATCCATCATTGTTTGAGTCCACAGTGCTCTCTGGTTGTAAGTGAACTACAACTCCCAAACTCAAAGTCAATGCCCACCAAACCCTTGTAGTGTTTTCTGTTGGTCATGGGAGTCCTGTGTACCAAGGGTGGTTCAATTCCATCATTGGTGGAGTTCAGAATGCTCTTTAATTGTAGGTGAACTATAAATCCCAGCAACTACAACTCCAAAATGACAAAATCATAATTTTTTGAGTGATAGTCACTCCTTGTGTTGTGAGACGTTTTGTTGCCAAATTTGGTGTGATTTTGTTCATTGGTTCTTTTGTTTTTAAGGTACTCATTACACACAGAGCATTTATATATATATAGATTATTATTATATTGCCATTAAATTGTGTATTTATGTTCTGATATGGGTGCCATGGGGTGCTGATTTGTTAGCCGTCCTGAGTCTCTCTGTGGAGGTTGAGATAGGACGGGATATAAAAGCCTGAAATAAATGAATAAATAAATAAATTGGTGGGCACTGACCTTGAATATGGGAGTTGTGGTTCACCTACAGTCCAAGAGCATTCTGAACCCCACCAATGATAGAACTGGGCCAAGGTTCCCACACAGAACCCCCACAACTAACATAAAATACTGTGTTTTCTGATGGTCTTTCATGACCCTTCTGACACCCCCCTCGCGACCCCCAGGTTGAGAAATGCTATTCTATGGAAATATATATTGTGGCTCAGTCTGAGCCTGAGCTTTTTGAGCCTGAGTTTCCTCAGGACAAGGAGGATGATGGGTTACGGATTTCTGAACATATCCCTGTTGTTGAGGCAGACAGTATTGATACTGAAGACGAGGCGGCGTTTCAGTTTCCCAGGGAAAGGAATGTTGTTTCAGAAGATGGTCATGATTTGGGTGAAACTTCACAGCTGCAGGTGGAGGAGTCGCCCGCTCCATCTGTGAGCTCAGTGCCTGTCGATTCCCAGGCTGGCCAGTCCCAGGATAATGAGTTATTTGGCTTTGAAGGTGATGGGGATTTAGTTAGGGAGGACCGTTTGCAATTAAGGGTACGCCGAAGTGCTCAGCTTGCAACAAACGGGAGGTTCAAGGTCAACGTAATGCTTTCATGCTAGGAAAGCATATTTAACGTCAATCCTTTGTCAGTGCAACTTTGTTACACCCTGTTAACTTCTCTGGAATTGTCTCGGCTTTTGGGGAAAGCGTTTGGCTCTTTGGGACTTTGGTTTTGATCTTGATTTCTGGGGACTTTGTCATGTTGCCATGGATTCTTGTTTGACCAATGCTAGGTGGATTATACTTCATGATATTTGCCTTTGGACCTTGGAAACTTGCATTTAAGACTGTTTTGGCTATTGAACTTTTGCCACCTGATTTCCACATTTATCATTTTGCTTTTTCTTCAGTAAACTACAAAACCTACAGCCTTGGTGTGGGGTGTTGTTCTGAGCAAGGTGCATCTATCCTGAGTTGCGACAATATGGATGGTGGTGAAATCCAGCTCAGTTGAACCTTAACTACGGGAAACATAGTCATTCTCAACCCCCTTCTCCCGAAACATTACTTATGAAAGTCTTGGGCTGGCGGGGAGGGGGAGATCTCGGCCCTTGGAAGTAATAAACGCAGCTAATACCGAGATTATGGGTTCTAATATCGGCAAGACGGCAGCCTTGTGGCAGATAGGAGAGAGTTCAATGGAGAGGAAATGAAGACACCGCGTTGACTGATAAAGCCGCCTTTCTGCCCAGGCCCTGTTTTGCCTCCCTCAAAGTAATAAAGGGTGCCCGTATTGTATTGCATAGATCTGGAGAGAGGAGAGAGCAGATCGCAATCTCTGCCCGGTTGTCTCGCCATGCGCTCGCTGGCTGCTGTTAAGAGGAAAGGCACACCAGGTTGGTCCTGACTGAGTCTACATAGAGGGAGAAGAAAAGAAATGGCCGGGGACAAAGTGACAAAAACAGCCTTTTTCTGGTGAAAAGGAGAAAGCTCTCCAGCTCTTGACCAGACTGTGTCGCCAAAAAGAGGCAAATTCCACACTAAAAATAAAATGGCAGGTATCCAGCTAAATAAATGGGTCTGAGGACAAATCCAACCTGAATTCTCCCAAGAAGCTAAAATGGATATACTTTGGACACCTTGGGGTGTTTTTTTCCATGTCAGGAGCAACTTGAGAAACTGCAAGTCGCTTCTGTTGTGAGAAAATTGGCCATCTGCAGGGACCTTGCCCAGGGAATGACTTGAGAAACTGGAAGTTGCTTCTGTTTTGAGAAAATTGGCCATCTGCAAGGACCTTGCCCAGGGAGTGACTTGAGAAACTGCAAGTTGCTTCCGTTGTGGGAAAATTGGCCGTCTGCAAGGACCTTGCCCAGGGAGCGACTTGAGAAACTGGAAGTCGCTTCTGTTTTGAGAAAATTGGCAGTCTGCAAGGACCTTGCCCAGGGAGCGACTTGAGAAACTGCAAGTCACTTCTGATGTGGGAAAATTGGCCATCTGCAAGGACCTTGCCCAGGGAGCGACTTGAGAAACTGCAAGTCACTTCTGATGTGGGAAAATTGGCCATCTGCAAGGACCTTGCCCAGGGAGCAACTTGAGAAACTGCAAGTCACTTCTGATGTGGGAAAATTGGCCATCTGCAAGGACCTTGCCCAGGGAGCAACTTGAGAAACTGMAAGTCGCTTCAGTTGTGGGAAAATTGGCCATCTGCAAGGACCTTGACGAATACTTTGGAAACACTCTCGAAAGATTGGGAGAGGTGCAATTTCCCCAAAGGGAACATAGCAATTGGGAGAGATTGGCAGCAAATCCAAGAACCCAGATCTGTGTGGATAATCTCCATGGCGGACCCCCCTGTTTGCTCCCCTCAGTCCACAACATTGATGGATCTTTCCGTGAGTTCCCTAACCCACGGCACTTAGGAAAAGCCAACCCACAAGTCCCACCGCCTGCTTTTTGGCTTACCTCCGTTGCAAGGAGTTTCTGCCAGTCGGGCTTCAGGTAGTAGAGCACGCCTCTCCAAGCTCCGGGCAGAGTGGCCCCTCGTATTAGGAGGATGAAGAGGATGATGTACGGGAAGGTGGCCGTCACCCACACCACCTGTCCGGAGGAGAAAGCAAGACACCAATGAAGAAGGAATCCCCGGACACAACAGCACCCTGCCACATAATGGAGAACGTTCCTCAACATCTTGAGTCTTGGATGCCTGCTGAGAACTCTTGACTTGCAGAGAGTCATTTCTGTTTATTGGTTGGTCTTCACTTCGTGGGCTTGCTTCACCCACGTAGGGACGTGGCCCCTTGGACTGAAGCATCACAGGATGACTCACACATATGAAACCGTTTTGAGAGAGGTGTCACAGACTATTGTCAAAGGCTTTCATAGCTGGAGCCACTGGGTTGTTGTAGGTTTTTTGGGCTGTATGGCCATGTTCTAGAAGCATTCTCTCCTGACGTTTCACTTGCATCTATGGCAGGCATCCTCAGAGGTTGAGGGGTCCAGACAAGAAACCCTCAAGGACAGCTAATCACCTCTCAACAAAGGATTCCCCCAGGCAGTAAGAAGCCACAATTTGAAAACTGCTAGGCCATTCAGTGCTCATCCAGGTGGCCAGTGGGAACATTCGCACCTACCTCCAACAGACAAGAGTTCTTTCTCCCACCCTGGAGATTATTCCACAGATATATAAACCCCAGACAAGAAACATCAAAACATCCGGGCAACGTCCTTGCAGACAGCCAATTCCGGCACACCACATGCAACTTGCACATCCTCAGAGGTTGCAAGTGTAGGTTTTTTGGGCTGTATGGCCATGTTCTAGAAGCATTCTCTCCTGACGTTTCGCCTGCATCTACGGCAGGCATCCTCAGAAGTTGATTTGTTGTAGGTTTTTCAGGCTGTATGGCCATGTTCTAGAAACATTCTCTCCTGACGTTTCGCCTGCATCTATGGTAGGCATCCTCAGAGGTTGAGAGGTCTGGGTTGTTGTAGGTATTTCAGGCTGTATGGCCATGTTCTAGAAGCATTATCTCCTGACAGGCATCCTCAGAGGTTGAGAGGTCTGTTGGAAACTAGGAAAATGGAGTTTATATATCTGTGGAGTGTCCAGGGTGGGAACAACATTCAAAAACTGGGGAACCCTCAGGGACAGCTAATCACCTCTCAACTAAGAATTCCCCCAGGCAGTAAGAAGCCACACCTTGAAAACTGCTAGGCTATTCAGTGCTCATCCAGGTGGCCAATGGGAACATTCGCACCTACCTCCAACAGACAAGAGTTCTTTCTCCCACCCTGGAGATTATTCGACAGGGATATAAACCCCAGACAAGAAACATCAAAACATCCGGGCAACGTCCTTGCAGACAATCAATTCTGGCACACCAGATGCGACTTGCAGTTTCTTAAGTTATTCCTGACACACACACACACTAAATACCATTTACAATGGTACAGATTGATATAGCACCATAAGGCCTTCAAAGCTTTCAATGTGGCAGTCCTGCATGACCAATCTAAACTCCTTCCTAATTTCTAAAGCGCATAATGCTCTCCGAAATGAGCACTACGCTCCAAACCCCCTCCTCCTGCTGGTGACCCTTCTCTTCACCTTTCCAGACGTCTTGACCCCTTTCCAGATGCTGAAGTAGACGATGGTGAAGATGAAGAGCAAGCAGAGGGTGAGCTGCCAGCTGATGCCGCCGAGGTCGTCCAGCCCCTTGGCTCGGTGCACCTGGAGAACGTGCCGGCTAAAAGAGACAAGCAAACAGGACTTCTGTCATGTGTGGGGCAGCAAGTTGTGCCAAGGAGATGCCGGGAAAGAGGGCTCTCATTTGCAGCAAGTTGAGTGCTTGCTGCAAATCATTTGCTGCAAATCATTTGCAGCATTTGCAAAAACCATTTGCAGCAAGTTGAGTGCTTGGTTCAAATCCTCACTCAACGATGGAAACCCACGGGTGACTTGGCACCCATCGGGTCCTTTAATTACATATAGCAGTCATGGGCAAACCCAGGCTCGGACACTGGATGTGGCCCCTTGGGCTCTTTTCTCAGGCCCTCCTCTCTCACGCCATCCTATCCTTCCTTCCTTCCTTCTCTCTTTCTTTCCCTTCCATCCATCCTTCTCTTCTTCCTCCCTTTTCCATCCTTCCTTCTCTTTTTCCTTCCTCCTTCCTTTCCTTCCACCCTTTCATCATTCCCACCTACCCTCCCTTTTGGCTTTCCTTCCTCCATACCTCCCTACCTTCCCTCCCTCTTTCTCCTTCCATCCTTCTACCTTTTTCCTCCTTCCTTCCATCCTCTCCCTCCCTCCCCTTTTGTCTTTCTTTAGTTGTCTCTTGCCTTTATCCTTCCTTTCTTCCATCCTTCATTCCTTCCTTCCTTTTTCCTTCCATCCTTCCCTTCCACCCCTTTGTCCTTTCTTCCCTCTTTCTTTTATCTTTCCCTTCCATCCATCCATCCTTCTCTTTGTCCCTTCCTTCCTTCCTTCACTTTTTTCATCCTCCTTCCTTTCCTTCCACCCTTTCATCCTTCCCGCCTACCCTCCCTTTTTTCCTTTCTCCTTCCTTCCTTCTTTCCTTCCTTCCTTCCTTCCTTCCTTCCTTCCTTCCTTCCTTCTTCCTTCTTTCCTTCCTTCCTTCCTTCCCTTCCTCCCTCCCTCCCTCCCTCCCTCCCTCCCTCCCTCCCTCCCTCCTTCCCTCCTCCCTCCCTCCCTTCCCTTCCCTTTTTCTTTCTTTGTCTCTTCCTTTTTCCTTCCTTTCTCTTTCTTCTCCTTCTCCTTCCTTCCTTCCTTTTTCCTTCCTCCTTCCCTTCTCCCTTCCTTCTTTCCCTTCTTCCTTCCTTCCCTCTTTCCTTCCTTTCCCTTCCTTTCCTTTCATTCCTTCCTTCCATCCATCCTTCGCTTCATCTCTTCCTTCCTTCCTTCTCTTTTTCCATCCTCCTCCCCTTCCATCCTTCCCTTCCACCCCTTCTTCCTTCCTTTCCTCTTTCCTTTATCTTTCCCTTCCTTCCATCCATACTTCTCTTCATCCCTTCCTTCCTTTCTCTTTTTCCTTCCCTTCCATCCTTCCCTTCCACCCTTTCATCCTTCCCTCTTTCCTTTATCTTTCCCTTACATCCATCCTCCTCTTCATCCCTTCCGTCCTTCCTTCCCTCTTTCCTTCTCTCTTTCCTTTAACTTTCCCTTCTATCCATCCTTCTCTTCATCCCTTCCTTCTCTTTTTCCTTCCTCCTTCCCTTCCATCCTTCCCTTCCACCCCTTCGTCCTTCCCTCTTTCCTCCCCCTCTTTCTCTTTCCTTCCTTCCTTCCCTTTTGTCTTTCCTTCCTTCTCCCTTTCCTTTATCCTTCCTTTCCTTCTATCCTTCTCTTCATCCCTTCCTTCCTTTTCTTTTTCCTTTCTCCTTCCCTTCCATCCTTGCCTTCCACCTCTTCCTCCTTCCTTCCCACTTTCCTCCCTCTCTCCCTCTTTTCTCTTCCCTTTTGTCTTTCCTTCCTTCTCCCCTTCCTTTATCCTTCGTTTCCTTCTATCCTTTTTTCATCCCTTTCATCCTTCCTTTTGTCTTTCTTTCCTTCCCTCTCTCCCTCTTTCTCCTTTCGTCCTTCCTTCCTCCTTCCCTTCCTTCCTTACATCAGCAGGCAGCCAGAACTCTTAGCAGAGGGTATTACCGTGCAGTCCCAAGTTGGCAAGTTTGCCCAGGCTTGACCTCTTGGGACCTTGAGGATGCCTTCCTTCCCTTCTCGTTTTGCCCTCGGCCCAGCCCTCCTCCTCCTGCTCCCCTTTTCGGGCACGGCTACCTCTCCACTTACATGCACTTACGTGTAAAATTCTTCGGCTGGCGAGATGGAGCCAGCCGTCCAGGTGATGCTCCGGTTGGAGAAGTAGTTGGTGCAGTTCTTGGTGTTCCAAGCGTTGGTGCAGCTGGTCCACGGCAGCTCGTCCGTGAAGGAGGAGATGAGGTAGTACAAGGCCCAGGCCATGATCGTGTTGTAGTACGAGGCAATGTAGAAGGCAATGATGCAGATGGCATAGCCGATCCCTGCGGGAGGAGATGCAAAGGACCTTAGGAGATGGAACGGGCACCAAGGGCCATCTAGTCCAACCCCATGCAGAGATACAGAACTGAGTTGCAAGCCCAGCCACAAAACCTTGTGAAGTACCTTTGAAAATGGGGCAGATTTTCCTCCAGATCGAGATGCAGCCGTTCCGGTGATACTGCCCCAGCGCCAGCTCCATGTAGAAGAGCGGGATGCCTCCGAAAATGGCCATGATGGTGTATGGCAGGAGGAAGGCCCCTGAGCCAAAAGGATCGGCATTAATTACGGCTCCAAAGCAATAAACAGGGATGGAAAACTCAAGAGGGAAACAAGGAGAAAGTCCAAGGACCCGTCTGTTGACTTCAGGCGCTTTCATACTACCACGTGCCTCTGAGAAAATGAGCTGGAAGGGGAATTAAAAGGGAGCTCTCCCACTGGTTCATCCAAAACAATCTGACATTTTCTAGAAGCATGCTCTCCTGATGTTTCGCCTGCATCCATGGCAGGCATCCTCAAAGGTTATAAGGTCAGTTGGAAACTAGGAAAATGGGGTGTATGTATCTCTGGAATGATGTCCAGGGTGGGAGAAGGAACTCTTGTCTGTTGGAGAATGTTGCAATTGGTCACCTTGGTTAGTATTTGATGACCTGACAGTTTTCAAGGTGTGACTTCTTACCGCCTAGGAGAATCCTTTGTTGAGAGGTGATTAGCTGCCCCTGAATGTTTCTTGTCCAGAATTCCCCTGTTTTTGAATGTTGTTCTTTGTCTACTGTTATATTTTAGAGTTCTTAATACTTCTTACTGCCTGGGGGAATCCTTTGTTGAGAGGTGATTAGCTGTCCCTGATTGTTTCTTGCCCAGAATCCCCCTGTTTTTGAATGTTGTTCTTTATTTACTGTTACGATTTTAGAGTTCTTAATACTTCTTACTGCCTGGGGGAATCCTTTGTTGAGAGGTGATTAGCTGTCCCTGATTGTTTCTTGTCCAGAATCCCCCTGTTTTTGAATGTTGTTCTTTGATTACGGTTATGATTTTAGAGTTCTTAATACTTCTTACGGCCTGGGGGAATCCTTTGTTGAGAAGTGATTAGCTGTCCCTGATCGTTTCTTGTCCAGAATCCCCCTGTTTTTGAATGTTGTTCTTTGTTTACTGTTATGATTTTAGAGTTCTTAATACTTCTTACTGCCTGGGGGAATCCTTTGTTGAGAGGCGATATAAACAGGGAAACTCCAGAGAGGAAACAATCAGGGACAGCTAATCACCTCTCAACAAAGGATTCCCCCCAGGCAGTAACAAGCCACACCTAAAACTGCTAGGCCATTAAAGGTAATCAAGGTGGCCAATTGAAACATTCACATATATCTCCAACAAACAAGAGTCCTTTCTCCCACCTTGGACAGACCACAGAATATAAACCCCAGACAAGAAACAATCAGGGACAGCTAATCATCTCTCAACATAGGATTCCCCCAGGCAGTAACAATCCACACCTAAAAACTGCTAGGCCATTAAAAGGTAATCAAGGTGGCCAATTGAAACATTCATACCCACCTCCAACAGACAAGAGTCCTTTCTCCCACCCTGGACATTATTCCGCAGATATATAAACCCCAGAGGAGAAACAATCAGGGATAGCTAATCATCTCTCAAAGGATTCCCCCAGGCAGTAACAAGCCAGACCTTGAAAACTGCTAGGCCATTCAATGCTACCTCCAACAGACAAGAGTCCTTTCTCCCACCCTGGACATTATTCCGCAGATATATAAACCCCAGAGGAGAAACAATCAGGGATAGCTAATCATCTCTCAACAAAGGATTCCCCCAGGTAGTAACAAGCCAGACTTTGAAAACTGCTAGGCCATTCAATGCTACCTCCAACAGACAAGAGTCCTTTCTCCCATTATTCCACAGATATATAAACCCCAGGCAAGAAACAGTCGGGGACAGCTAATCATCTCTCTACAAAGGATTCCCCCCAGCAGTAACAAGCCTCGCCTTGAAACTGCTAGGCCATTAGAAGCTAATGAAGGTGGTCAGTTGAAACATTCATACCCACCTCCAACAGACAAGAGTTCTTTCTTTTTCTATGGACATTATGCCACAGATATATAAACCCCACTTGCCTAGTCTCCAACAGACCTCAACCTCTGAGGATACCTGCCATAGATGCAGGTGAAACATCAGGAGAGAATGCTTCTGGAACATGGTCATACAACCCGAAAAACCTGCAACAACCCATCATCTGGAATCCTTAAGAGGAAGAAGCAATAATAATTGTTCCTGTGGCATCTTTGAGACTGAGAATGGGACATTTTGAGCCTAAATTTTCGTGGACTCATCCGACCAAGTGGCCTGGAATCCACGGAAACCCATGCTATGTAATTTTGGAAATGATGGAATGGCCTGTCCTAGGCTATGGACAAGGATCCTTCCCTCGATCCTTGTGGTGACGCTCGCTCACCTCCTCCGTTTTGGTAGCAGATGTACGGGAAGCGCCAGACGTTGCCCAGGTCCACGGCATAGCCGATGACCGAGAGGAGGAAGTCCATTTTCTTGCCCCAGGTTTCCCTCTCGCCCAGCGCCATCAGCTGCTGCTGGCCGTCCACCACGCACAGGATGGAGGTGGTGGTGGTGGTGTTAGTGTTGGTGGTCAGGGTGGTCATGGCCACCGGGGTGACCGAAGGCGTCCCCTCGTTGCCCCTGGCCGCATTGAAAGAGCTTGGGCTCTGGGCCCCCGAAAATCCATTGGAGATGGGGCTGGCCGACCCTTTGTCTGCCTGGCCAAAGGCCACTCTGTCCGTCTCCTTGACCAGTGGCAACGCGGGCCGGTCCTCCTTGCGTAGGAGTCCATTGCTTGCGCAGTCTCCCTCTTCGGCGCAGTCCAAGGGCTCCTTGGGAGAGGTCAGAGGCTGTGTCTCGGGGCTTGCTTTCTCCATCCCAGCGGCAGTTAAATGGTAGCCACAGTAGTGCCCCTGTCCATCGGCAAGCGGTCACCTTACGACCTCTGTCCGGCTAGAAAGTCTGGCGCGGGATTCCTAGCCTCAGCAGCTTCAGCTTCAGGTAAGAGGATGCTTTACCTGCCAGGTAAGGAAGGAAAAAACAATTGGTTGGAGTGAGCTCCCCACCATTAATAGTCTAGCTTACTGTTGACCTATGCACCCCTCTGCCAAGACCAGACTATGGCACAGCTGCTTAGTAGCCAGCTGCATTAAGTCACTACTGAGAGGTCATGAGTTCAAAGCCAGCCCGGGTTGGAGTGAGCTCCCGACCATTTATACTCTAGCTTGCTGTTGACCTATGTATCCCTCCCCCCTGCCAAGACCAGTTAGTAGCCAGCTGCATTAAGTCACTACTGACCGAGAGGTCATGAGTTCAAAGCCAACCTGGGTCGGAATGAGCTCCCGACCATTAATAATCTAGCTTGCTGTTGACCTATGCATTCCCCTGCCAAGACCAGGCTGTGACGCAGCTAGTTAGTAGCCAGCTGCATTAAATCACTACTGACCGAGAGGTCATGAGTTCAAAGCCAACCTGGGTCGGAATGAGCTCCCGACCATTAATAATCTAGCTTGCTGTTGACCTATGCATTCCCCTGCCAAGACCAGGCTGTGACGCAGCTAGTTAGTAGCCAGCTGCATTAAATCACTACTGACCGAGAGGTCATGAGTTCAAAGCCAACCTGCGTCGGAATTAGCTCCTGACTATTAATAGTCTAGCTTGCTGTTGACCTATGCATTCCCCTGCCAAGACCAGGCTGTGGCGCAGCTACTTAGTAGCCAGCTGCATTAAATCACTATTGACCGAGAGGTCGTGAGTTCAAGGCCAGCCCAGGTCGGAATGAGCTCCTGACTATTAATAGTCTAACTTGCTGTTGACCTACGCATTCCCCTGCCAAGACCAGGCTGTGGCACAGCTACTTAGTAGCCAGCTGCATTAAATCATTACTGACCAAGAGGTCCTGAGTTCAAAGCCAGCGCAGGTCAGAGTGAGCTCCCAACTATTAATAGTCTAGCTTGCTGTTGACCTATGCAGCCCAAAAGAGAGTTGCATCTCTCAAGTAGGAAACAGGTACCGCTTTACATGGGGAGGCTAATTTAACTAATTTATGACACTATAAAACCTTCCAGGAGCATGCAGAACAATGAGAAAGTACTCAATCAAAGGACTCAGTGTCACAAGTGGACGGTGAAGCGACAGCTCCCCCTGTGGCCAGAACGGAGCATACCCACATGAAGTCGGAAAAGCTGGAATGTTAAATCATCCGTTGCCCAGATGTTTTGATGTTTTACCACCCTTGTGGGAAAACATCGGGAAAACATAGGGAGCTGGAGCTGACAGAGGGAGCTCACCCACGCCCTCCCTGGATTTGAACCTTCGCCCTGTCAGTCTTCAGTCCTTAAGCACATTGCGCCACCAGGACTTGGAAAAACTTGCTTTTCTTTTGGTCAGGAATTGCAAGAAAAGGTGTGCTGCTGCTTATGCAGGTTTCAACCCAAACTGGATCTGCTTACCTTAACTGGACCTGGCTCACGTTCAGCATTTTGTTTTGAAACTATGCTGTTTCAACAGGAAACACTCGTAAAAATGAAGTAAGGGATTCAGCTGCTGAACTTGCTGACCCAAAGGTGGCAGGTTCGAATCCGGGGAGTGGGGTGAGCTCCCACTGTTAGCCCCAGCTTCTGCCAACCTAGCAGTTCAAAAACATACCAATGTGAGTAGATCAATAGGTACCGCTCCGGTGGGAAGGTAACGACGATCCATGCAGTACCCACACGACCTAGGAGGTGTCTATTGTCAACGCTGGCTCAAAAATGGAGATGAGCACCAGAGTCGGACATGACTGGACTTGACGTCAGGGGGAAACCTTTACTTTTACCTAATTATTTCTAGAAGGCCTTTCAGTACCTGTGTGTGTTGCAGAGGCTAAATCAACATTTCCCAATTCAGTGCCTTCTAGACCCGTTGAACTACAACTCCCATCAACCCTGGATAAGTAGGCATGTGCAATCCATGGTTCTAAAGTACTTACAAAACTAAGGAGATTCCATCTGAACATGAGGAAGAACTTCCTGACTGTGAGAGCCGTTCAGCAGTGGAACTCGCTGCCCCGGAGTGTGGTGGAGGCTCCTTCTTTGGAAGCTTTTAAACAGAGGCTGGATGGCCATCTGTCAGGGGTGCTTTGAATGCAATATTTCTGCTTCTTGGCAAGGGGTTGGACTGGATGGCCCATGAGGTCTCTTCCAATTCTGTGATTCTATGATTCTTGGGGGCAGTGGTGCTTTCTTTCTAAAGTGTTTCTAAAGTGTTGGTGGTGAAAATTTCAGAACGGTCCTACTTGGTATGTACCATAGGGTGATGTCCCTTGCACACAGACAAAGTTTTTGCAGTGTGACAAACTATTGCCATGTTTTTTTTAAATGACAGAACCCATTAGAAACTGCTGTTTATAATGAAATTTTGAAAGTATTGTCGAAGGCTTTCATGGCCGGAATCACTGGGTTGTTGTGGTTTTTTTCGGGCTATATGGCCATGGTCTAGAGGCATTCTCTCCTGACGTTTCGCCTGCATCTATGGCAAGCATCCTCAGAGGTAGTGAGGTCTGTTGGAACTAGGAAAGGGTTTATATATCTGTGGAATGACCAGGGTGGGACAAAGAACTCTTGTCTGCTGGAGCTGGGTGTGAATGTTTCAACTGACCACCTTGATTAGCATTTGATGGCCTGGCAGTGCCTGGAGCAATCTTTTGTTGAGAGGTGATTAGATCCTGATTGTTTTCCCTCTGCTGTTTCGCTGTTGTAATTTTAGAGTTTTTTAATACTGGTAGCCAGATTTTGTTCATTTTCATGGTATCTTCCTTTCTGTTGAAATTGTCCACATGCTTGTGGATTTCATTGCTTCTCTGTGTAGCCTGACATGGTGGTTGTGAGAGTGGTCCAGCATTTCTGTGTTCTCAAATAAATGCTGTGTCCAGGTTGGTTCATCAACAATCAGGGACAGCTAATCACCTCTCAACAAAAGATTGCTCCAGGCACTGCCAGGCTATGAAATGCAAGTCATATTTAGGTTCTTGTGGGTTTTTTTGGGCTATAGGGCCACGTTCTAGAGGCATTTCTCCTGACGTTTCGCCTGCATCTATGGCAAGCATCCTCAGAGGTAGTGAGGTATCCAAGTAATATTTATTTATTTGATCAGTCATATGACCATTTCAAAATGCTATCAAATGCTAATCAAAGTGGTCAGTTGAAACATCCACACCTAGCTCCAGCAGACAAGAGTCCTTTGTCCCACCCTGGTCATTCCACAGATATATAAACCCAATTTTCCTAATTCCAACAGACCTCACTACCTCTGAGGACGCTTGCCATAGATGCAGGCGAAACGTCAGGAGAGAATGCCTCTAGACCATGGCCATATAGCCCGAAAAAGACTACAGAAATTTTGAAAGTTTTGTTAGAGTTCTGAAATTTTCACCACCAAAACTTTGGAAACACTTTAGAAACAAAGCACCAGCTCCCCCTAGTTTTGTAAATATTTTAGAATCATTTAGAGCCATGGATCGCACATGCCTATGGATACGTGCCGTAGTCCAACTCCCTGGAAGAGGCCAGGTGGGAGAAAGACAGGTGACAATGCTGGACTTCAGGCACTGAGTGACCTCTCACATACTGTCCTACCTGGTAGGGTTGCCACAAAGGACTGTCCCATCGCCCGAAAGACTTCTCACAACCATAACCTTTCCGTGTTTCTAAGAAATAGTGCATACTTGCCCAACCCCAAAATTCCAATTGCGACACGAGGCGTCCTCTCCGTGGAGCGACCTGTCAGCCACACTCCTAAGGCAAGCAAGGCAAGGGGAAAGGCCAGCTTCACGCTCCACACATGTTGCAATTGTCAAACCTGCGTTAATCATCAACCCGGACAGACATGAACGCCGGAGGGACAGGGGAGGACCGCTTTCGGTTTCACCTGGCCAAAACAGACAGCTAGCCACCTGGGGTTAGGAACGGGGCTCGGTCGGAACATGGGCAGGTCTTTTAGGGGCGCATTCAGTCCCAGGTAGATAACCTGAAACGGAAACAATATACTTGGATCTTGTGGGTTTTTTCGGGCTATAAGGCCATGTTCTAGAGGCATTTCTCCTGACGTTTCGCCTGCATCTATGGCAAGCATCCTCAGAGGTAGTGAGGTATCCAAGTAATATTTATTTATTTGATCAGTCATATGACCATTTCAAAATGCTATCAAATGCTAATCAAAGTGGTCAGTTGAAACATCCACACCTAGCTCCAGCAGACAAGAGTCCTTTGTCCCACCCTGGTCATTCCACAGATATATAAACCCATTTTCCTAATTCCAACAGACCTCACTACCTCTGAGGATGCTTGCCATAGATGCAGGCGAAACGTCAGGAGAAATGCCTCTAGAACATGGCCATATAGCCCGAAAAAACCCACAAGAACCTAGTGATTCCAGCCATGAAAGCCTTCGACAATATACTTGGACTTTACACCCCGGAGTAATCCAATGCACGAATCGGACTCCGTGATTGCACAGGCTGCGGCTCTTGAAAGAAATAGGAAATTGGAAACCTATACGTCATTTATATACCGCTTTTCTCAACCCTAGGGTTGAGAAAAGTGGTATGTAAATGTTGTAAATAAATTTATTATTTACTTACGTATTTGCAGAATTTATATTCCGCCCTTCGTACCCCGCAGTGGACTCAGGGCAGATTACAATGCACATATACACGGCAAACATCCAATGCCGTTCAGACATGCAACATATATAGACAGACACAGAGGCAATTTTCAGCGTTTCCGGCTTCATGAGGGGGATCTGCCGCTTCACCGTCCACGTGCCCTTTGATGGAGTACTTCCTGTTTCTTCTGCACGCCGCTGGAAAGGTTTATGACATCGTGAATTAGTCAAATTAGCCTCCCCGCATAAAGCGGTACCTACATTTCCTGCTTGACAGATGTAACTGTTTTTCGGGCTGCATAGGTCAACAGCAAGCTAGACTATTACTGGCTGGGAGCTCACTCCAACCTGGGCTGCCTTCGAACTCATGACCTCT